CCACCTTGCGTCACTTCGTGCACTCCTCTAGATGGAGTGGGCTTTTAGCGGTTCTGTTGGTTTGTTACGATTCTCATATGGATAATAATTACAGCCTCACTTTGCATTTTGTTCGGCACCAGATGGTCTGAAAATGTGGATTGTTTGAAAATTGCAGTGCAGCCTCGAATCCTGAGATGGAGCATCTGAACAGAACAGGACTAGATTATAGCAGCTACAGGCCCAGCTGGCTGTGTGTGTGTGTGTGTGTGTGTGTGTGTGTGTGTGTGTGTGTGTTATATTAGCTCCAGTCATTAGATGAAACAAACAATCAAAAGCCTTTTTTTTTACTGTGGAGTGTGTTGGGTTGGGTTTCGGGGGTGGGGGTCTACATGTGCTCCCAGCCGACGATGTGAGTCAACATTGTTAGCATTTAGATGACTCCTCCACATGGCATACTGAACAAAGATTTAGACAGAGTCGAATCATTTTCCTCTCACACAGGAACCACTTTTCGGGTCGCTGATCATCTTCAAAAACCATTCAAACTTTTTATTCCTCCTCAACTGCAGCTGCAGCGGGACTTAAAACTTTTCTGAGGGAATCGGCGGCTGATTGCGCGAAGAAATTCACAAAACACGGATTGCACTAAACCAATTTTAAAAGGAACCTATTGTGCTCATTTCCAGCTCTATATTCTCAATGTTAGACTCAACTAGAGTAGCTTTGCATGATTCACTCTTCAAAAACATCCTTATTTATCTTGTACCGGCCCTTCATGCAGGGCCGACGTCAGCTGCTCGCTGGACGCAGGTTCTTTGAGTGAGTCAGATCGATTGGCTCTTCATTTAGTGCCACGTCTGGACTTTATAACTCAGCAAAAACTCTTTTCTGAGGGAGACTTGGTCAAGACAGCACACCACTTACAGTTTAAATAGACATAAAAATAGAATCGAGAAGGAAAACAACCATCACACACACACACACACACACACACACACACACACACACGGAAAGAACTAAATCCAGCTCAAAGGAGGCAGTTTTATTTCTCAGTTACATGTTGTTTAAACATGGTCTTAAATTCTTTTCAACGTTTTGTAAATTACATAGAATTTAAATTATTCAATTTACTGTTATTATCCAATCCAACCTGGATTGGAGAGCCAGACTGGGTGCCGCTCCAATCAGGGTCTTTAGCTCATCAGAGAGGCGGGACGCGCCTCTTCAGCTGAAGCCAATGGAGCACCTGGGACTCACACATCCTGTTTTACATCCCACTAACGGACGTAGATCGGGGCCTCACCATGCTCAGGCTTTCGTATTATTACCAAAGTGAGATGTTTCTAGATCAGATTGAACAAATATGTTATAGGATCATCCTTTTATTCTGTCTTTTATTCATTTACAAAAAAAAAAAAGCTTTCAGAAAACGTTGCATTCAGAGAAGTCACAGGCAATAGTTTTACATGTTTCATTATTTGACAGTTTGGCCTCGTTTACTATCAACATCCGACATTGTAACATCATCGTAGGTCGCTTTTAAGTCCTGTACTTATTGTATATCCAGTGTGTATTCATGTGATTTTATTTAATTTAAAAGGACCAGTGTGTGGGGGTTTAGTGGTATCTAGTATCTATAGAAGGCCCTGTCCAGAGTCAATGTTGGTTTGTCTGTTCTGGGCTACTGTAGAAACATGGCGGACTCCACAGAAGGCGATCCGCTCCCTCTGTAGGTAAAGAAAGCACAATGCTTCATATATTCATGTGATTATACACAAATGAAAACTATGAACATTTAATTTCTGCCTGTAGATGTTCCTAAATGTTACACAGTGGACCTTTAAAGGGAATCACTTATCATACAAATGATTAACACCTTAAAAAAGGAACCCCCTGATGAGCCACACAAACATTGTTAAACTTAATTAACTTTAATTTCCGTTAATGGTTTTAATGGTTGATGTGTTTTTTATTAGCTGCTCTGCTTCCTGACTGCAGAATGAATGAGACTGAATAAAAGCAGAACACACCTATTAGTTTATAATTCATAATAATATCAGGATGAAGAATATCTGCAACACCTCACATTGGGAACCTACAACTTTTATTTGAATCATTACTAACAATTATAGATTGAACACTAGATTCTTTATACATTTTCTGTTGATGTAATTTAAAGGAGCAGTCCAGTGATACTGACCGGGAATTAAAAGTATAAAGTATAAAACTGCCTTTAATTTGAACATAAAGATCCCTTCAGACGCAACAAGACTCCAATCACACAGTCGCCTGCTAAATCATTGATTTCCTATCGTTACGTTTTTTAGACGCTCATAAAAGTTCAAATGTTTTCGTTGCACCGATTCTCAGTGTCACTACACAGCCAATCAAATTAACAAGAGGTGGGCTTTACTACTTTGCCACTTCCTGTTTTGATGCTGGTAAATTGGTCTGCTTGAATCCACTTTTCCGTGATAATATATGATCGTACGGTTCCACATGCAGCTCCTCTCCAGACACTTTCTCCTCGATGCTTTTTGCCAAGGAGTTTTTAAAGTGGCCGCACCTGAAACGGTGTGATTGGCCCCTTACCACATCTATACAACAACAATAATGTGTGTCTGATGTGTTTTTTCTCTACAATTTACACACTAAAATCCTTGAAAAAAGTCAGCTACTCCTTTTACCTCATTAAAAATTCCACAATCTATGAATATGCACATTTTGTTAAGATGATACACAAGATCATTCTGCACAGAGAAGCTCAAACATCACACTGAAGGAACAAGAAGAAACACTGATTTCTGACTGGAGGGCGACTTTAAGTGAATGTACTTAGTTACATTGCAGCACTGCCACAGTTACACTTTGACAGGAGGGATAAGGAAACAGGCTGAAGTGGAATCAAGCACACAGGATGTACAGAATATTTAGCAGTGAAGAAAAGCTGAAGAGAAAGACAGATTAAGTGTATCTGATACTTTAGGTAAACTGTGAATGTAATCCAGTAAATTAAAGTGCAGGAATCTGAACACAAATTCCGTTTAAAAGCTGGATCACGGTCCCGTCCTAACCGCTGGTACACCTGAACTATCCCATAAGCTTCCAGATTGATGGTGAAACTGAGGAACTGAGGCGGTGGAGTGAGACTGGAAGCAGATCTCTCTCTCTCTCTCTGCGACCTTTTCAGATTTATCATCTCCAAATCGACCATGAAGCCATCAGCAGCAGCCGATCCTTCAAAGTTCTCACAGTGCAGGTCAATGAAAACAAAAGTCCAGATCGTGGTGTGCAGCGAAAGAGAGACCGGTTGTGTTTTTAGACAAATGTTGGTCCGAGCACTCCGATCAGAAGACGTGTCCATGGATTTATTCTGCTCTCGTACAGCCAGAGATTGAAGATGAGAAATCCTTTTCTTAGGTGTTGTTTTTCAAGAGCTCAAATAAATTCAGGACCTCCATTGGTTTCTCATTCCTCAACCATTTGAAATCCAGGATTTATACGGCTCCCACCTCCTGTGACCAGAGAACGACAGAGACACATTAAACTGCACGAGCAACAAGTTTTATCGCTTTGTTTAGAGATTATTGAACAAAAAGGAGCAGAAATACAGGAAAAAACAATCTGAAAATAGGAATATAAATGATTTTAAAGCCAGATCACAGTGTCAGGATAGTCTATCACACAATAGTAGCTACACAATGGACTGAGAGTGGAAGTCAAGCACATTTTATTTAAATAGCCCAAAATTGAAATTCAGTTCCACTCAGATCAAACCAGAGCTGAAACACTGAATACACAAACCTGAAATTTACTTTACGTTTGTGTCTCACAGTCGAGCTCGTCCACCGTACGACCTGAAATATAACAACTCTGTGTGTAAGATCGAACAAGGATACATTCTGGACCTAATGATTATTATTTATAATAAATAAATCAAATAAACTCCACAATCCACAATGAAAGCTTGCACTGTCAACATAAACTGTAAGACAACAATTTGCCATCAGTCAGAGCCTGATTCAGATCCTCCACTGAAGAGACGGCTGCAACCACAAGATGGTGCTGTTCGCTACCTGATGCGCCTGTGTGTGTGTGTGTGTGTGTGTGTGTGTGTGTGTGTGTTGTGTGTGTGTGCACAACATCTGTAAACTCCCTCTCTAATTTATGAGATAATGACAGCCATTTAAACCGCGGGCAGATGAACTGTATTCAGTCTCCACAAACAGCAGCCACATGAAGGAGGGCAGCAGAGTCGGAAGGATGAGCGGTCTGATTAATCGGGTCGAATATTCGAATCATTAAAAGATTTAATGAGCTGAAACTTAATTAAAAGCGCACAGGTCTGCAGAAGAGTCAGTTCACTAAACTCACAATCCTGCCACCAAATGATGATGAGTTTAAAGGAGCAAACAGGATGAAGAACAGAGTTTATTTTGCAGATGTGACAGATTACAGCCCCCATTAGTGTAACCTATTTATCTAATTATTATCTGATTTGCCTTTAATCTTAATTAAATAAGCTTTAATCTGGCGGATAAAAGTTAATTTGCATCCATTTCCAGAACTTTATGAGAATAAAACCTCAGATTGTTTACTGGTGTGAAAGTTTGTATCTTACTGGAGCAACAAGCTGCAGAACAGAGCCTCCTGAAATACCCAGAAGTGTTTTATTAAATCACATTTTACAATTTACTGAAGCGCATGTTTGAAGATGAAGCTCGTTAATCTTAAATCCGCATATTTCTGAATGGAGTTTGGTTCGCAAATTGAAAGCAGGGCTGACACAGGCGGTTCAGAGGTCCTCAATCCTCCGTCGGGACTTTCTTTCTGAGGACTTCGCTCTCCATTAAACCGATGCAAACCAACCTGCAGACAGAGATGCTGGATTATGTCGAGCCCCCTATCAGAGCCAACTGACGCCCCATGCATGCTCCGACCCCCCCTCCCACCCACCCCAGACTGTGCCAGCTTGCTGCTGTCTGGCTTATCAGCGCTGCTGCTGCTGATGCTGCTGCTGCTGATGCTGCTGGATGCTGCACGGTGGCGCAGCCCAGATCCAACTGAGGATTTGAGGATGGAAACGTGAGGACAGCGGGTCTGCTGGAAGCGAGTAGTCCGGAATGGAATAACCCCGAAGACCCCCAGTATTCACTCGTGGTGTCCATTTGATGCGTTACTTTCACCCCCATTGAGAGAAACCTGCCCCCCCCTCGCCCTCCGCTCAGCTCCTAATAGGATTTTATTGAAGCGCGTCCCTCCGGATCAGGTGCGCCGGCATTTCCTTAACTTACCTGGGATGATGGTTGCGGCTCGTTCTGCAGCCAGCGCACAGGTGGGAGTGTGGATTTAAATTCCCAAACTTTGGATCTTCTCTTTGTGGGATTTGTTTTTTTTTTTCTAGAGGAGGGGGGGGGTGGGGATGGCGGCTGTTGATTGGAGACCCCGCACGCGTCTTGTTTGACACATCAGCTCGTTCTGGATGGATGCTGGCGATGTTATCACGGCTGTTCTGGCACATGATCGTGTGTGCACATTCCCTCCGCGGATACCTGCCGTCCAGTCCGGGGTCTTTCCTCCAGGAAACTTTGTGACCGGGACGCGGCGGAGGATGAAGGCAGCGCAGCGTTTGTGGCTTCCCAGCGGACGCAGAGCTCAGTGACTGCTCCTCACACGTGGTTTTAATATATATTGTATATGTTTGTGGATGGATTTGTGAGCTGGAGTCTTATAGCTGGAGAATGTGTACCCAGACTGTGGAGTCCTGCTCAGGCTGGAGGGGCGAGCAGCGGATACCCCTTCCTGGGACCACAGGTGTTCCTGGTAAACAGTCAGGTCTGCACTGAGGGGAGCTGTGTCACAGAGAGGAAATTAAAGAGACTGAAAGTGTTAACAGCATCTGTATGAAGGAAGGTTTAATGGATGCAAAGTGGACCACGTGTCTCCAGGTACTGCGCTCCGGACTCTTTAACGCTGCACTGCTTTTTTATTCTGCACCTCAGGTTATATTTAAATGCTGGAATATAGTCACATACTGTGAATTAACCCTCGGAAACACTGTCAGCTGTTGGAAAAAGTTACAATTGTGTGCTGTGGATTTGCTTTAAATACAGTTGTTATTAGTAAAATGAGTCATATTGAACGAGGTAAAGATATTTATTTAAAGACAAACACATGTTTAACTGTCAGTAATCGTCAGAAGGTTTTATTATTGTGCTCACTGCAGCTAAATCATTAAACTGTCTCATTGATTTGGGCTGAAGATATAACAGCATAAAGGGAACACACCACTAATTATTCCTTTCAAAATAAGACAATTTTGTAACATATCTTCACTTTTCATTAAAACAATTCCTCCCATTTTGATGCATAAGATGTGGTTTTATTGTTCTGTTGACTCCTTCTAGAAGTTCAGCCTGAGGAAAATGCATTTATCTGACTTTTCTGAATGTTAATTAGAGTCAAAATGGAGGAACAGATAGAGGAGACATAACCTTTATCAGCTGTTGTCTGTAAGTTAGTTTTCTGTAAGACTTATTCAAGACTTTATTTAATTAAATGTGTAAGTTTCTATTTCTTTTATCTTTCAGTGACTCCAAATCCCAAAATGCCGAGCTGTGGATAGAGAGGCTTCCCCCTGGGTCGAGTTGACCTGTGTCTACCTCCCTGCACCTCCTCTCTGTCATTTCCTAGTTCCTCATCCTCCCTCTATCCTCCCCTTACTCTTTCTCCTTTTTCAAATCTTCTTCCTCTCTTCCCTGCACTACTATCAGCCTCTCACCCCCCCCTCCCCCCCCTTTCCTCCTCTCCTCTCTCCCTCCCCTGGTTCTACCTTTCCCCCCCAAACCCATCACCACGTCCTCCTCTCCCTCCCCCCACAGCACACATGCAGGCCAAGAAGCGGTACCTGCTCGTGTCTGTGGGGGCCGGTCTTCTCTTCCTCGTCTACCTGTGGGGTCTGCAAATCGGGGAGTTCCAGCAGCAGCCGTACCAGTATCACCAGTTTCCCCAGTACCCCCAATACCACCAGCAGGAATACCAGTACTACCACCAGAGCCAGGAGGTGTACCAGCCCCAGCCCCAGCCCCTGCCCCAGAGAAGCCCGTCCAGACCCCCCAGGCACTGGCCGGAGTCGACCCAGCTGCTGGAGCCGTACCTGGAGGGGGGAGAGCAAGAGGTAGACTGAACCAAACTAAAAAAACAGACGTGGAGGGATCCTGCTTCAGTATAGAAACTCCTTCAGAAGCAGTTGTGGAGAAATATTAAGATACAACAATATAAAAATACTTAATCACAGCTGTACAAAGAAAAGTATTATAAGTTCTCATTATGCAGCAGGTTCCTTTCTTATATAATGTAAGTCTTTTAAAACAACACTCACTTGTTCTACTGTTGTCGGGGCGGTGGACTCACCGTGACGCTCAGTGTGCTGACTACAAAATAAAGAAATGAATAATGACGATTCGGCATGCAGACTGACTATAATGCTAATTTGATGTATATTTTCTGAAATTTTCTGACCTGAAGTTGATAATATTTTGCAGCCTTGCTTCAGTGGTGATGGCAAGAATAGTCCCCTATCACCTCACCCCCATGCACAGATCATACATCAATTGTAGCCCAAGTCTATAGTTAATGCATAATCCATGATGATGAAGATATAGAAAGGTGCAAGTATTTCCATTACTAACGTCATACTTAACAAAAAAAAATGTAAACAGAAGAACATTTTTTCATTTTAAATGATCTTTGTTGTTTGGGGGCAGCAGTTTGAGATCCCTGGGCTCTCCAACTGTACAGTAACTCCAGTAAATATGTTCTTAAAATCCATGGTTTTAAATTTGGGTTAAAGATAAATGATGAGTTCTGCAGCTTGTTTAATTGCTTTTGGGGAGCGACTGCAATCCAGGGGGCTCATGAGTAATCAAACAGATATAGAAATGCTAGGAAAAAAAAGTCACCAGAAATCCTGTCAGGTGTTATTAGTTCTCTCACACTGATCTAAAGAATGCATATGACTCACTCAGTGACAGTGTGGAGAAAGCCTTAGGATTAAACAGTGGTATAACAGATCAGTGGTTCCCAACCTGGAAGTTGGGACCCCCACTACGTGTCGCCAAAGCTTCACAGGGGGTTGCAAGGAGTTTTTGATTTTAAGGGGTGTAAGAAAGCTTTAAAAATATACACAGTATGCCTATATATCAGCATTATGTTAAAATCTGTGAAAAAAATTTAATTAAATAGTTATTTGAATGTTTTTTTTGATTATTATTAACACCACGCTATATTCACAGAGCCTTCAATCTCTGATAAACAGCCGCGTCCTACGTTAGAAAAGTACAAAAGAGCTAATAGAAACGTCAAGGAGAAGACAAAAAGACATCTATGTATATATGATTATTAAAAATTTAGAAAAGGCATCTTACATGCAGAGAACTGTATAAAAAGTTCTTAAAATTATCAGAAAAACTCATCTCTGATCAATATTCACAGGAAATAATCTGCTCAACATTCATCCAAATCTCTGGTTTTAAACTCTATGATCAGAATCAGAATCAGAAATACTTTAATAATCCCAGGGATGATGATAGAAAAGTTGTCCCTTTGGAGCCAGTGTAATGGATGTGATGGATGTATTTTGTCCTAACTGTCTGTGTCTGTGTGTCCAGGAGGACAGCCCTCAGCTCCAGCACCAGCACACCTCACCTCGGGAACGTCGTGCGATCCGCGACAACATCTACAAGAACAAGCGCTGCCGCATGGAAACCTGCTTCGACTTTGCTCGCTGCCAGTCGGGCTTCAGGGTTTACATCTACCCTCCACAGAGAGGGGACGAGATCTCCGAGACCTACCAGAAGATCCTGTCGTCCATCGAGGAGTCCCGCTTCCACACCACAGACCCTTCGCGGGCCTGTCTGTTCATTCTCGCCGTGGACACGTTGGACAGGGACCAGCTCTCGGCCCAGTTCGTCCAGAACGTCCGGCTCCGCATCCAGAGTCTGCCGACGTGGAACGATGGAAGGAACCACCTCATATTCAATCTCTACTCTGGCACCTGGCCGGACTACACAGAGGATCTGGGCTTCGAGGTGGGCCAGGCCATGCTCGCCAAGGCCAGCGCAGACGTGGTCAACTTCAGACCCCACTTTGATATCTCCATCCCTCTATTCTCCAAGGATCACCCGCCGAAAGGAGGGGGCATAGGTTACCTGACGCTCAACGACGCACCGCCCTCCAGGAAGTACCTGCTGGTTTTCAAAGGGAAGCGATACCTAACAGGCATCGGTTCAGAGACCAGGAACGCTCTGTATCACATCCACAACGGGGAAGATATTATTCTGCTGACCACATGCAAACACGGCAAAGACTGGGAGAAACACAAGGACTCTCGCTGTGGCAGAGATAATGAAGAATACTCAAAGTAAGACATGCTTTTTGATCTCTCATCTTGTTTACGCTGCTTCTGGGTGTGCTTTTATGTCCATTTGAAAAGAGCATCAGCGCTTTGAAGATCTATCAATTAAGAGGATTTATTAGTGGCTTCATACAGCCCACGTTCACAGTCTTTGCTGGTCTTTCTGTCACTGCAGAGTTGGTCTGTTCTGGTTTGTCATCCTGCACAGACAGCCTGTGTTTTAGCAGACATTAGCACCGTGGCAGTTATCTCATTATCGGCTCTGATTTGCTGTTGGTTATTTCAAATGCAGCGTGTTTGTGCATCATTACCCCACAAGTGCTCGTTGGGTTTGTGTGCAGGGACGTTACTGCTGTCGATCGTTACAAATGCGGTTCGTTGGCTGAAAACTCTCCTGCCTGAGAGTGTTACTCGCCACTGTGCACGAAGCTCCTCTGTTTGGATGAAACAGGTTGGACGCTTTCATGTGCATATTTCCCAATTGTCAGGGGAGTTGAGCTTCACTGTTGCTGTGCTCCTGAGACAAAATGCTACGAAATCGCGAGTGTGTGTTGGTGCTGGAGTGTGTGTATATAGCGTATGTGTGTGTGTGTGTGTGTGTGAGAGAGAGAGAGAGGAGTGGGAGAGCAGGAAGGCGACGACTGTTGAGGGAAGGAAAGTTTTGTCAGCTCAGCAGTTGGTCGAGAGGAAAGTGATCCGAGTTGAGAAGAAGAGTTCACCTTTTGAACATTTTAGCGAGAGCTGGCGGCTGAAAGGAGAGGATCCATTGCATGTGGAGTGAAATGAGAACAACATTCTCAACTCCTCTCGCTTTTTCCTATACATGTTCACCCGAGAGTCATCTGTTGCATATTTTAGGTTTAGATATTGGCGAGACCCAAAGGAAAACCGCCGTAGATCCAAGATCCTGCTACTGAGATTTTACAGTGAGCGCCTGCATAGGGTCTAGTCTGGCTCCGTTCCAGCACATTATATCTTAAATTAAACAACGAATTTGAGGTTAAACTGCTGACTTTCAGCTTTAACTGTGTTTGAGAGGGTTCACATCCATATCAGATTAACAGTGTGAGTCCCAAACGTATTTACGGACAAGGCAACAAAAGGTTTTTTAGGGTAAAACAGTTCAGAGTGCCTGAAACAAGCAAGACTTACAGGCCTGGCAGAGCATCACTGGGGAAGATAGCAGTTTTCTGAGGGTTGGAGACTTCAGACAATCCTGGGTTTCCCTCAGGAAACTAGTGGGAGAGCTGTGGCTCTGTATTCTTTTAGAAAGTTCCCAATAAACAGTTAAATATGAATCCAGCTGAACAATATCTAACTTTAAACTCACTTGTTCTGGTATCCGTATTGGATAAAAGATGTTTCCAGTCAGTGTGAAACATTTGTAGTATCAGATAATGACATACATACATCAATAATTTACACCTGATCCATGATTATAAAGATGCAGAAAAATAGAAACGCATGGCAAAAATAGCATATTGTCAATATTTATATGGTTATTATGATTTATTCCAGAGGCCACTTGGTCAGTTTACATTGTATATAGACTCACCTGCACTTCTGACCTTATCCTTAAGGTCAGTAGTATGCCTGTGTATGCCTTCTAACATTGTCATTCTTGTATTTTTATGTATCAAAATGAATTATCCTCATGTACTCCGGTTTGTACACTCCCTTGCCTTAAATTGGCCCTTTAAGAAAAATAAAGTGTTTTGAATCGAACCAAAGAATCTCATACAAAGAATTTTGGTGCATAACGGGGAGATGAGAATAGAGAAAAAACACGTCCTGCAAGAGTCAAGAATAATAATATGGTATAATGTAGTGGGTGATTCAGCTCTAATGTTTCCTTGTAAAAACTCATCAGGTAAAGAAAGTCACATTATTATGTGAGAAAAAGAAAATATGAATTCATTCGTCAATCATTGTCTTTCTTCCTCGACATTGTGACGTGCTGCTCTGATTAATTATCGCAAATTATATTTCATTAGTGTGATCATATATTCTGAGCAGTCGAGCGCTGTGTTTTCTGGCATTGTTACATTTTCGGTAAAAACATTTTTGTCCTTGTAAGAAGGGGATCATTTCCTCTGCTGTTCATCTGACGGGGACGTACAGTCTAAGGACTCAGACTCGAGTCACAAATTGGACTTGACAAAATCAAACAAGACAACTTGGATTTTAACTTTAACACCTTTGCCTTTTAAAGGTAGCAAACTTTCACATTTTTTATAAAAGTGATTTCTGGAGCAGATCATGTGTGGGGGAAATGAAAAACTAATTGATTTGGTATCAGTCATTAAATTGTAATTCAGTTTGTGAACTAACAAGCAAATGTTTCTCTGATTAATTTGTGTCCCTGTGGTGGAGAGGCATATCTGACTGCTGTGTTGGGACTAAGTTTGTCTAAAACTATCCACACAAAATGACTTTAAATCCACCAACAAATCACAAATACAATTCAGTAAATATATAATTTCATGTCATGCATGTAACACCCCAAATCCCATTAAAATTCATGGGAGTAAAATACACATGGACATCCATCAATAAACTGCAAAAAATTCCAATTTATGCTGCAGTTTTCAAAGAAGTTTTAGAAGCACAAAAGCCAAATGATAGAAACAGGTGACAAACACCAAGTCTGAGTGAATCTTGTAAGAGTGAAGACCACAATGTCTAAAATATAGTAATTGAAAAGCTTATTCATTAATTCATTTGTTGTGTTAAACAGAGGAACCCAAAAGCAGAACACAAACTCTGTGAGCATGATTACCAAAACAGGGCTTTATTGCAAACTAGTTAGAGGATGAGACGGCGAGGTGATGGCGAGGAGAAGCTCTGGCTGGCGGCGGTGAGGGGAGAACGGCTGAGATCCGGGCAGAGTGGATTGGAGGGTTGAGGCAGGGTGGCTGAGCAGAAGTTGAATCGTTGAAGCGGAGAGTGTGGCAGATGAGGCAGGCTGGAGTGCAGGTGATGATCCTGAGGAAAAACAAGGTTAAAGTAACCAAGAAGAAGAAAAAAGACATCATAAATTTCACTAGCCGGCCGAGAGAGTTGCTACCAAACAGGCTGAAACAACAATCTGGCGGAAAGTGGATGAAGAACCGGGGTTGAGATATTGCAGGGCTGGCAGGTGTGAGCAGTCAGACAGGTGAGCAGGAGAGACAGACAGGAACACCAGGGAGGGGAAAAACACCAGAAACACTGGGAATTACTAAAGTATGGTACTGATAATCACACCATTCCCAACTTAACCCCAACCTGGTAACAGGGTGACTGGACGTCCCAGTTTGTGTGTCAGTCAACCTGCACACACGTAGGTGAAGTGTATTCAGAAGGAATTTGATGGAAACTACCACAACGAAAAGCAGCTACAACAAAGACTGAAACTACTTATGATAAATGATCATTTGGTTGAGGACCCCCAAGGAGTTTCCAGAGGGTCCCCAGAAAATTGAGGAATACTGTGTACTAATTTGAGTATTATGTCATTGACTAGAGGTTATCCCAATGAGAGAATGTATCCGCGGCCTGATGTGCATCAATTTGAGGGTCCTTGACGGCAAATAGTAGACAACAATCAGACTGAAGGAATGAGTGAAGGACGAAAGTTTGTTCCTGCTGCCGAACAAGCCGAAAGTCATCCGTCTGTAAACAACGCAGCTTCACAATCTTCTGAATCTGGAGGTTGTGAGTGAGAAAGCCTTGTTGTGTGTTCGCTGCCGTCTGTTTTACACACAGCCCATCGATACAGACATCACCCGGTGCAGGCGAGGGGGGATCCTACACAGCCAGGCTCCCTGATGGGAACAGAAACCGGCGAGGATCTTGAAGCCTCGGGCGGTCGATAATTGCCCTCCAATTGAATTAAGCTGTGAATGAGGGGGATAGATAGAGATCTCACCTCCCACTGAGCGGAGCCGGATTGAACTTGGGCTGTTTTACTGTATATAACAGATAACAGCCGGCTTCACCAATTAGAGCCTCGCCATCTCAAGTATCTTAAGTGTCTCTGTGAAGAATGTTTGATACCTGAGGCTGGCTCAATTTACAGAACGGCAGATTAAACCCTTAATTCAGATCGCTGTCACGTCTTTCATGATAGCTTTCATGGTCCAATGAGAGGAGGGAAGAAGAAAGAGTGCAGATGATGGTCAAACATGATGAGAGGCGTCCCGTTGACTGCACAGTAAAATCCACAAACATCTTTTTCCTCTCTGCTCATCAGCTTCCTCTCTTCCTTCCTTTCCTTCCTTCTCTCCTTCCATGCTTTTGACTTTGCTCACAGGTCCTCGCGGCCATGCTGAAACACATATTAAATATTGCTATGTTTCCTGTAACTGACACAAAAGTACTGAATGCATTTGAATATGTTTTTATGAACGACTGAAGCGAATAAAGTGGATTTCCAGATCTTGCCCTGTCATCAGGGGTGTTTCTAGACTGCATTATCCTTCCCTCTTCCACTCCGCACTGGCTTTAAAAGGCTAGTAATGCTGGCTTTTTAAAGGAGTCCATTGACCTCTGACCTCTAGATATCTGAATGAAAATGGTTGTATTTTTACCCTCAAGTCTCCCCTTTGCAGACAGACCTGCTTTGTGCTAATCCCATGCAGTTTGGAGGGAAACAAGCTTTTTTTGCCTGTGGTATAAATGTGTTATTCAAGACATGCCCCTACTTCCCAGTGTGAAAAAGGTCCAATCTAGAGCCAGTGTTTGGGTTGTCGGCTCTACTGTAGAAACACGGTGCAACAGGGTGGACTCCGTAGACCCTCTGTAGATATAAACGTCTCATTCTAAGGGAGGAAAAACACAGCGACTCCTATATTCAGGTGATTATACACTAATGAACACAAGACTATGAATATTTCATTCCATTTCTACTAATAGATCCTCCCAAATGTTACACACTGGACCTTTAAGCAAATGTGTTTCCATCACTAATTGTTTTATAATAAGCGAGTAAAGACATTGAATGAATTAGTTATAATGTGCTCTTT